TAAACCCACTGGATTCTGCTAATTTGCTGCTTGCAGCTATATTGTTCATGTTCATCTTGTTTCTCAGTGGAGTTTGTTCATTTGCGTTTCATCTAATGTGCACATTTTTGTGAAAGAAGAACTGTGCGTTATAAAATTCATCATGACCTCTGGCATTCTTGCTTTCTAAAAATATTGTAAAAATGTTTAAGTTCAAGAAAAAGTTGGAAAGAGTTGGAAAGTTGGAAAGGGTTATACATATTGTACTTGATCTAAGAATGTGCAAATTTTTTAACTCTTCATAGCAAAGAAGGTCTGTGCACGCTGTAAAACACTCCACCAAAGCTCCTTTCTAGGCAAGCCACTTCACTTGGTGGCCATCTTTGCAATGCAGTATGGGAGCTATTTTCAGTCATGCAAGCACAGCTTCGATCTTATTTCATGGGGAAATACCAAAATCTCAAAAACTGCACAACAACAACCACTTTAGAGCTGTTTCTGTGGTGCTTCTAACAGCAGCCGCAGTGATGCTGTCATTAAACAGCATAAGCTCTCATAAAGACCAAACAATGACTTTGAAAATTGGCAATTTTATTTGGAAGGTGGGACTTCCTTTACTATAGTCACCATATTGGATGTTCCAGTTTCTCCCATTCATTGTAATGTACTGTATGTAGCCTGTATCAGTTACTTTTAAAAGACAAGTTCCATTTTACTGTTAATTTTGCCTCATTACTGAAGCTTTTTCTGTGTAAAAGAAAACATTCACGACACTAACAGCAGATGTTGAGTGGAGGAAATTCAATTAGTCTTGAAAGCCTGCTGCTGTACACAAGTCTCTGTACAGGCAGATCAATGCAGTCCCTGCACCTCTGAAAGTTTCCACAAGCTCAACCTCTAAAGATTACAAACTGGCTGTATTCCAAAACCTTGTAAATAGGGTTGTAACGGTGTGAGATTTTCAAGGTATGATAATTGTCTCAGAAAACATCATGGTTTCACGGTATACTACACAATACAATAATTCTTATCAGTAGCAATGACCATCAAAAGAATAAGAACACGTTTTTTGAGTGAACAAATGCTTTATTACAGTGTGCAGCAGACAACAAGGATGCAGAATATAATTTAGATGGGGCAAAGAGAGTGACATTTTTTTAGGTATTAAAGTTATTAACAAGAGCTAAAATTCTGTATGTTTTAATTTTTTGTATTTTGTTTGAATGGTTTATGGTTTAATACAAATATATTGTCAAAAACAGAGGTAATCAAATGAATGCATAAAACCTTAATATTTTAAATGAGGTTTTAAAATGTTATCAAATGAAAATTTCACAAATTGTACTTTTGGAAAAGTGCTGGACAACAGGTATACTAAGTAAAAAAAATGGACAAACATGATATTCCTTAAAAACAATATTATAATATCCATTAGATCCTCGTGATACTGTAAATTCCATGTTCACGACTGCACCGGGATTAGCTCTGCATCACAGAAATCATACGGCCTGAACTTATAACTTGTTATAAATGCGACATACCTTTATCTGCATGGAGGGATGGTGTTCGCGAATATGAGTGATATAATATGAGAATAATGCCTCCTTTTGCAGCCACTTTGCGTCCACATATTTTGCAAATTGGATATCCGTCCCCAAGGACAACCCGCGTTCGTTTTTTTATATCGGAAGTATTCCCATACTGCAGATTTTAACTTCTTAAATACAATCTCTGTCTCTGCCATTTCCGTTGCACGTGCGTGTAAGCAGCGGAAAATATAGCGGAAAGAAGCTGTATATGCGAAGGTGAGATTTTTTTTTCCATTCTTTTTTTTTTTTAAACCGTAGATATGCAAATGTTCACGGTATGATAACTGTGCACGTTCGAACCGTGATAAACCGCCATACTGGTATACTGTTACAACCTTACTCGTAAAAGCTGCCTCACTGTTTGCTGGGTACAAAGGAAGCTGACTACAAAGGCAGCATTCTAACTGAGTGACCGATTTGAAACACATCAACAACAACAACATCAACAGTGTTGATTACTCAAGTAACTCAAGTTGAGTAATCAGATACTTTTTTCAAGTAACTACTACACATTTCTTTTAAATTTACAACAAAATATCTGAGTTACTTTTTCAAATAAGTAACGCAAGTTACTTTTCCCATTCATTCACTGACAGCTCTCCTGTACCCGTGTTAAAAGAAGTTGGGAGTGAGGTGCAGAGGCACTTCCTTCGGCTTGAGACTTATTAATTACATTTTTGGTGTAAAGGGCCTTTACAGTTGCCAAAAATATAACTTTTGGATTTTGTTATGAAAAAACATAAGCAAGCCCAGTCCAGGTGACAAAAAGTAACGCAAAAGGAATGTATTACTTTCCATAAGAAGTAACTAAGTAACATCATTTGCTTTTTTTTTTTTAATGGGGTAACACAATATTGTCATGCATTACTATTAAAAGTAACTTTCCCCCAACAATGCATATGACACACACATTTCAGTGAAGTTTGATGTAAGGCATGTTGCTAAACTGATATCACAATATTAATAGATACAGTTCACAAATACTGGTGAAAATAGTGGTGAAATATGTGCTTCAGACACCGGCTCATGCAAAGCTTTCCCATAGCATCAATACCATCAAGCAGCATCAAAGTTCCCTTTGAAAGGAAAACTACAGTGTCAGTCCTATTGTATAATCTTCTCACACAAGCAGACAAAATACTTAATGCCACAGTGATGGTGTTAACCAAAATGCTGAGGTATTTTAATCAGTGAAGGACAAGAATGTAATTGCTATGAAAATGAATGCGATTATATCCACACAATCCCATATAAAGCAATTAAAGGGCTCATTTTTGTTGGGGGTGGACTACAGTTGTTTGACTCTCTGGCTTTTGGCTGCTGGCAGAGTAAAGGCAAACAAATTATTTCAGGAATAAAACGATCAATAGCATTTTTACTAAATCTCCCCCTCAAGACTCTCATTACAGTAATCCAAAGTAATCTTTCTCTGCCAAATCAGAAATTGTGGAAACAAAGACAATATTAGCTTTACTGGCTGCGACCAGCACTTGCGGCTATTTAGGATTTACATAAAGCGGCTGGGAAATGAGAAAATGCTGATTTGCTGTATTTTAATTACAGCATCACAGTTTATTTAAAGCAGAATCTAAATGTGTTCGCATGTAAATGAGGCTTCTTCCTTGATCAGTACATCTGTATCGCATGATAAACTTTGCATAGTTTCTTTTTGTATCATGTCTTTGGAGAACTAAGCTGTCACATCAGTTAAATAGAGCTTTCAGAATATATACAGTTGGAAATAATTATGATACTGAGTACTTTGTCTACTATTGGAGCTTTTGGGCCTGTAAACTTTAAGTAACTTACTGAAAACGCTTTTGGAGTTTTAGAGTTTTTTAAAGAGATATTTTCAAACCCTTAATTTATTTATCTACTAACAATGTCTAACAGTTGATATGCATTAAACAGTCAAATAGTTATGAATAATCCATAACATCATTGTATAACTGACTGTTCAATATATGTTCCATGTTTCCTCCATAGCTATGATTGTGTTTTATTTCTCATACTAGTCTGTGGCATAAGTTAATAAAATAAATTTAACTTAAAGGGTTAGTTCACCCTAAAATGAAAATTGGCTTGTGTTTTACATACCCTCGAAGCATCCTAGGTGTATATGACTTTCTTCTTTCAGAAGAATCCAGTCGGAGTTATATTAAAAATTGTCCTGGCTATTCCAAGCTCTATCATTGCAGTCAGCGGGTGTTGCAGTTGAACAGTCCACAAGTCGTCAAATAAAGCACACACATTCATCATAAAACGTGCTTCACACGGCTCCGGGAGGTGAATAAAGGCCTTCTGTAGTGAATCCATGCGTTTTTGTAAGAAAAGTATCCATATTTCAAACGTAATAAACACTTTTTTGTAAGAAAAGAGGAGAGGAGAAGGAGAGGGAGAAGAGATGAGTAGAGTGGAGGACATTGGTGAAGTGGAAAGAGCAAGAGAACAAAGTGTAAGAAGACACGAACAGAGAGGAAGTGGACAACAGGGTGGAAGGAGAGGTAGAAGGTACAGCCACATTTCAAATGAAATCAGAGTTACCCAAATTGACCATGAAAGAAATAATGGCCTCACTTTTAGAGAAGCTGGGAAACAGATCTAAAGGGTTACTATGTCAATACACTTCTATATTGATAAATATTGTGCTATGAATGTTGATAGTGCAGATTTGTAGTCCTCCTGGGACAACTTCTGTTCTTTAAATGACCAATCATTTTTAAGAATTGAAGTTTGAGAACATTCAGGTGGACTATCAGGTTTATTTTGTTGACATAGTGTACCAGAACAACATCACTAGCCACAAAGTAAAAGGCCCGTGGAGATGTTGGGACAGGAGCTTAACAAGCATGGATTCAACCTTCTCACAATTTTTTCCCTCCATTTTTTCCCCAGTAAGAATGTAGTGTAGATAAAATGCAGTGCAGATGAAACTCTCTTCCAGATAAAAGGCAAGATCAATAATTGAGCATAATTCATGTACAATAGCAAACACACACGGCTTATATATATGTATGATATATGTATGTACATGCAGCACAGCGCTGTAAAAGACTGATCTCCACTTATCAGAATATCGTTTGTTTGCAGTTCTTGCTGCTAAAGGGGGCTCAACCAGATTTTAGGTTTAAAGGGACAATTCGTTTTTCACATGGGTGATAGGCGTTGGATGATAACTGTTTTTTATTTCATTTATATATTTATATATATATA